AACCACAAAGGGCGAAGCCACAACCACCGGTGGGGGCCCCCCCCCAGGGGGGGGGGGGGGGGGGGGGGGCGTGGACACACAACTAAGTCAGACTCTGGTACAGACACAGTGTCTTAAAATGGTGTTACTATTGTCAAGATCGATTCAGAAGTTGGAGGAAATGAACGTGGGCATCGACCACAGAGGAGAGGATGTGATGTCACACCTGGGCCAGCAGTGGAACGGACTGATGGGAAACAACAGTGTCTCCAGTCCGCAGACAACCAGCAGCTGCAACACCCCGGAGACAGGTTTGCTGAGGGACAAACCGGGAGGTGTGACCAGCAGTACCCCTCTGAGGACCGGGAACCACAAGTTGCCCTCCCTGGGAGAGTCTCCTGTTCCTACCAGTCACAGGTAAAAACCTCATACAATTCCTAAATATTATGAAACAAAAATATATTTTTTGATTATCGTGAACCCGTTGACAACGTCATTTGACGTTATTGTGTTTGGCACTGTGGAAAAAGTGACAAAGGCTGTTTATTGTAATGTAAATGTAAAAAAAAAAAGCTAAGTAGCTTAGCATCTGTCTGCTTAAGGTCATGGGTTTGATCTATTTCTTTCACCAATTATTAGTTGCAGTTTTATGCAAAATGTAATGATTTTTAAGCAAAGCATTTAAGCAAGGAAGGAAAAAAAACTTATTCAAAAATCATTCTGATCCTAGCCTGAACTTGTCTTTTATTTACTGCTAGATAGTATAAAAAAAAATAACCTGTATTTTTGTCCATGTATTAATATTCATCATCAGTGCTGAGAGACTCCGAGCGTCCTGTCCCACCGTAAAAGAAGATTCAGGCTGCACCGTGACACGGAGCCCACAGGAGGTACCGCCACCTACTGACAGAACACTGCAGTCCAGACTCTAGTCCCACGTTTTCTTCCATTGTTATTCCTGGTGAATTCTTCAGCTCTTTCATCAGTAACCAGATGATATTCTCCCACAGCAGGCCAAGTCCAAAACACAGTTTGTCAAAGTGAATCAGCTGGAGGACACGCAGGCAGTGAGAGCCGTGGCCTTTCATCCGTCAGGTTCTCTCTACGCCGTCGGCTCCAACTCCAAAACCCTGAGAGTCTGCGCCTACCCTGAAAACCCAGTACCCAGGTAGATACGTGTACTGTACACCGAGTATGTGTGTGTACTCTGAAATGCTGACGTTGTGGTCACTCTCACAGCGGTTCTGCTGCGGTGAAGCAGCCCCTGGTGCGCTTCAGGAGGAACAAACATCACAAAGGCTCCATCTACTGCATCGCCTGGAGTCACTGTGGACAACTGCTGGCCACTGGCTCCAACGACAAATACGTCAAAGTCCTGCCGTTCAACGCAGACACGTGTAACGCCACAGGTAACGACGACACACGGAGGAAAAGCAGTTAAAGCCAAAAAACAGGGCGAAAAACAGCCCATCACATCATTTTATACGGTCCACCTTGTTCTGATGGTTCCCCCGTCTCTGTGATCTAGGACCAGACCTGGAGTTCAGCATGCACGACGGTACCATCAGAGACCTGGCCTTCTTGGAAGGTCCTGAGAGCGGAGGGTCCATCCTGATCTCTGCCGGTGCCGGAGACTGCAACATCTACACCACTGACTGTCAGAGGGGACAGGGACTACACGCCCTGAGTGGACACACTGGTATGATGACGAAACGGACCGAGGACACACACGGAGACATTGGACGACGGGACGTTCTCCAGGTGTAAAAGGGTAAATGAAGTGAAGTAAAGTCGTGTTCTTTGTGAACTTTGAAGGTCACATTCTGACTCTCTACACCTGGGGAGGGTGGATGATCGCCTCTGGCTCTCAGGACAAGACGGTGCGTTTCTGGGACCTGCGTGTGCCCAGCTGTGTGAGGGTGGTGGGAACAACTCTGCACGGCTCAGGTCAGGCCTGACTCCCACAACACACTGTTGGTGTATTATTAATATTAGTATACTCTTGTATGAATGAATAAAATGATGTATTAGCTTCACGAACCCCTTAGAAAGACAGGTGTGAGCCTAGATATAATCCAGTCCTGGACCTGTTGTCTGAGAAGCTGACTTTGGCCGAGATATTAACCTATAACTCAGCACTGCCTCCTAGTGGATATTTTGATCTACAACTGTGCCATCGCCTCTATCAGCATCTGAATTTAGGTTCAGTTTGCTTTAAAAATCTGTTTATTTTTTTGTGAGACAAGCTACTGTACCGTGACGTCATGGGTTTTCACACACAGGCAGTGCAGTGGCTTCGGTGGCCGTTGACCCCAGTGGTCGGCTGCTGGCCACCGGTCAGGAGGACAGCAGCTGTCTGTTGTATGACATCAGAGGAGGAAGAGTCGTGCAGACGTACCGGCCCCACGGCAGCGACGTCCGCTCCGTACGCTTCTCACCAGGAGCTCATCACCTTCTGACTGGTTCCTATGACAACAAGATCATCATCAGTGACCTGCAAGGTAGCAAAAAAAAAAAAAAAAATGTCCTTCTCCCGTCCACACATAGCACAGCTTTTTACTCCATCGGGACGTTTTTGTTTTTTCTTCCCCTAGGGGACCTCACCAAGCCCCTGCCCCAGACATTGGCAGGAGAACACTTGGACAAGGTGATCCAGTGCAGATGGCATCCACACGACCGCACCTTCCTCTCCTCGTCCGCGGACCGAACCGTCATCCTATGGACTGAAGGCCCCTGAGAGTTTAAAATAAAAAATAAAAACCTCAGGTGAGAGGCAGCAGCACAACCAGAGTTACTCACAGACAAACAGCCCAGTGTGGGACCAGATCCTGTAAAACAGCTCCTGGTCCATCTGTACATTCACATTCGTACTGATACACACTATGCTCTATATCTTCTGATTTGTTAACCGTTTTTTTTTTTTTTTTTGGTGTTTTTGTAGAACAGCTGTGAGAACAAGTCCTTGAACCTGAGCCCTAGAGTTGGACCACGACCCACTCTACTAACTGAGCCACGGCCCTGAAGTGTATGTGTGTGTGGCTGCGTCCTTAATGGTCCATAGTCCATAGTTTTTAATAGCATTAAGAAAAAACAAAAAGTAAATGTGTCACAACAGAGTCTGAAGTCATCAGCCAATCGTTTGCTCTGTAGCAGCACATCAATTCCTGGAACTTTTTTTGTGCCAGATGTAAAATATTAAACTGATCAAGTGTTTTTTTCCTAATCTTCAATTATGGACCTGGTTTTTAAAAAAAGAAAAAGAAAAGAAATGCTCACTAAAAAATTCACAAAGCACAAGGTTCAAATTTAGTTGACTAGTTTTGCCTGTAATAAATATTATTTTACATCAGTAAAAATTTTAATTCAATTTTATAAGTGTTAAATAAAAAGTCCAAATCCAAATAGATACACAAATAGACAACTCTGAATGTGTGTGTGTGTGTGTGTGTCTGTGTTTAACACCTGTTTTAACTGTTGAAAGTCGTGCACAAAACCTAAACAGCACTGAAAAACCACTGAACACAGACGTCGGCAGTGTCACGTCAAGCACACTTTCTCTTTACTTTTCTCACGTTCTCCCTCTAACTCAGCCATAGCTGGCTCTGCCCTCTGACCTCTGACCTTTAGAGCGAACCTAGTCCAGAAAGTGGACCTTGGAGTGACTCCAAGTAGAAAGGAGGGAGCCACCTTTATTTATGCATATCATTACGTGCCTTTTTGTACCACTTTTTTTAAAAAGTTCATGTATTTATTTGATGCTTTATCTTTTGTATACACCGTGCCATGTATAACCTATCAGACACTGAGCATTGTAGCACACTTGAATGAATACAGTATCATTTTTCCCCACCCTGTGTTTTAGTGTCACTTATAGTTAAATCACTGTAGACTCACTGATGCAGCATGATCACAGACGTGTCAGTGGAGAAGGACAAAAACAAAACATCTAGTGCTTCTCCAGCAGCTCATGAAAAATGGAACAGATTAGAACGTCTCAGAGAACATCTCTGATAGAGAACGATGGAGTAACTGGATGTTGGCTGAGTGATGTTAGAACACAGGATGTCGGGAGTGCACTTTAAAGGTAGAAATGCTGCCGGATTAGTGAAGACTGCACCGATATTCTAATATTTTTTACTTCTATTCATCTTTATCCACAAAGAAGGGAGGGGGGGGGGTATTATGTGTTTTAAGAAAATGTGCCTGAGTTCACCTAAGTAGACACTGTTGAAATGTTATAAAAAAAACTAAATAACATGTTTTTGCTTTTGATGTAAATAAAGTTATTTTTAATTTTGAGTCTGCTCATCTGTTTCTTTCTTATATAAAGTTATTAATCTATTGCAGGGATTCCCAAAGTGTGGTGCGCGGTGCGCGAGCTGCGACTAGAGGGTGCGCGAGATTTAGAAAAAATAAGGTTTGGGGCGTTTTTTTTTTTAAAGTAGGATTTTTTTACTGTTTTTCATTATATTAACACTTGGTGACATTTCAGTTTAATTCAAATGTGAAAGCACGTCGTTATTGACGTGACTATTCTGTTGTATGGGTCTGGTCGTTGGAGCATGACTAAACATGCTGCCTCTATAAGAAAGCCTGTTCCGTTGTTTCCAGCCACGGTGTGGGGTATTGGAGGGGCGTCAACCCGGCTGGGATAAAGAAGTGGGATGTATACGAGTCATAGTACTTTGGCTCCCTCTAGTGGTATGTGAAGGAATCGGACTCACATGAAGACGAGTTAGTTACTTAAATACAACTGTATTTTTGGTTGTAGCGTTGCTGTACAACTGTAGTGTGTCTGATGAATTCAAATTTTTCATCCATAAGTCCTAGACAAATGCATATAAAGGCCAACTTCCAAAGCAAATTACTTTCATTTATTTTTCTAATTAAGAAGGAATTCATCTTCTTTTTAGAAGATTAATTCCTGTCGACCTTCTTATCACTGACATGGACACTAATCTAAATACTAGGAATCACACCCCCCCCAAAAAAACTCCCCCCTCACACACACTGGACCGAGAGAGCAGGGCAGGTGGGGGAGAATCCCTCACCTACACGTGGGGCTGGATTTTTCCATCTTTTGTGAAGTGGACAATGATGTTGAGTTGGTGAGTTTAAAAGTATGTGCTGACTGTCACTGACAGAAACAGAGAGGAGACTCAGCTGAAGCAGAGAGGTCAGGAACAGACCCCTGGACCTGTGGAACTGCACCGCACCATCAGGTTAATGTCTTTTTTTTTTTCTATTATTTATTTCTTCCAACAGCTGTTCTATGAAATGGATGAATTATACTGTGCTTTTCAATCTAGAAGTATTTGAGAGGCTTATATTGAGATTTTAATTTTTTTTTTTTTTTTTACGTAACTTGTGATCTGAATTATCACAGTGGTGAAAATTAGTTAAAAAACATCAGTGTGTGACGTTGTTGTGCTGCCGGTTGACAGTGTGACTGTGCTGACAGTTCAGTTCAGTTCAGTTCAGTTCAGTGTTCCATGTGTGCAGGGCTTTAGGTGTGAACAATGGCTCTGAGCTGTCACACAGACACAGCCACTGCCAGTCTGTGTCACTCCACAGATACTGTGGTGAATATCTACCAGTGTTGAACACTGTACTGTACTGCAATATTTAGACCTCAGGTATACTGTACTGTAATGTTATTGTACTGTACAAATTCAATAAGTTGATACATGTACAATTAAATTAAAATTAATTATTATTAATTATTAAAATCTAATATATTACAATATAATGTGTCCAAAGACATCAATTAACAGGTGATTTTGAGACATGAGTGGAAAGCTGACTGTCCCTGAACTCTGTCTCTTTTCTCTCCGTGTCCAGCTGCTGAATGTTAAAGCGGACACTCGTCCCTCGTCCTCTACACCATGCTGTACACGTTAGCAGGAGGAGGAACACTCTGTGGCGTTGCTGCCCTTGTGCTTCTCATCGTTTCCACGGCTACTGACTTTTGGATGCAGTATCAATATGCTGGGAGCTCAGCCAATCAGGGGCTTTGGAGGTTTTGCATTGCTCATAAGTGTCATTCTCACACCATAGCTGTAGGTGAGTGATGGGACAGAGCGGTGGTCAGTCTGAGGACCAACACTCCTGCACGTCTACCCTGGTCCAGTAATAATGTCTTTATGTGGCGTTTATGAATATTAAGTTTTTTGTTGAGAAAGTGTACCTTGTATTAAAGCAAAAAAACTAAACTGCAGTTTTTGAGCAGATATTATAAAAAAGTAAAAATAGTATTACCTGCACATGAACTCACCACATTTGACCCACGACCCAGCAGTTGAGAAAACACTTCTGTAAAAAAAGAAAACAAGAAAGAATGACTGTAAAATAAATTAATCAGAATCTAAATGAATTTCATCAAAATATAAATGCTTTCAATATTAATTAGAATTAATTACATTGTATCCAATTTTCCAATAGCAGTGAATCGTTTCATTCTAGACACAAATGGCTTTTATTTAATTAGACAGATGCAACACAACACTCTCTGATGTGTGTGTTGGTTTTTCTCACCTCTCTCTCTCTCCCCCGTCCAGCTTTCTGGGACGCCACCCGGGCCTTCATGTTACTGGCAGTACTCAGCTGTTTCTCAGGCGTTGTTCTGGGTCTCAGTGCCTTCACCAACGGATCCAAGAACAGGAGAATCCGCACCGGTGGCATCGCCCTGGTTCTGTCAGGTAACAGTGAAAACCCAGGGAAATCCTGAAGAACAGAGAGAGAGAGTGTGTCAGTTTATGAATCTGGTGTTCAGGTGTGTTTTTGTCCAACATTTCACATCAGTGCTCACATTTGATCTCAGGATTTCTTGCACTTCTGGCGTTGGCAATTTATACCGGCGTGACAGTGACGTTCTTTGGCAAACGCTTCACGTCCTGGCGTTTCTCCTGGTCCTACATCATTGGTTGGGTGGCCATCATCCTGGCCTTTACTGCAGGTCTGTTCAGAGTGTTGTTTGTGTGGACGTCTCAACCTGTGATAAATAAAGATAAAGACGATGATTCATTTATTGTCATTTCAAGTCCTGTAACATAACGACATATAATGAAATGTAGTGAGAACTTCAGTTTCAGGTACAATACATCAATACACACAATATTAAATAAGAGGGCAAATGTAAATATGCTGCTTTATATATAGTATATATATATAGCACTTAAAAATTAAGAAATGATTGGTCATACATTAGAATTAGCCTGCTGCATATATATATATATATATATATATATATATATATATATAATATATATATATTTATTTATTTATTTAAGAGCCAAAAGTGTGTTTCCCCATCCTGTAGGTGGGTTCCAGCTGTGTGCTTACCAGAGAACCACAGCAGAACCTGCTCCAGAAATAAACCTGGACAGTTGCACCAGATGATCAGGATGAATAACGTTGGAGCTGCTGTGACTTCATCCACAATAAAAGAATCTGACTTTGACTTTGTTTCGTGTCTGTCCCTGCCTTCTTACATGTAGTTATAATAGGATACATAATAATAATGGTATAACTTACTATTATTCCTCATTAAACTATATTTACATAAATACAGTGTAGAAACGTCGTTTTAATCGTCCCAGACACAAGACGAGTTATTCTACAAATAAAAAAATAAAAAAGAACCACAAAGGGTGCAATTTTTTTTTTATTTACTTTGCAACATTTGATTTATTTTAGAACAATAGCAAAGTCATCTCACAGAGACTACTTTGAAATTACACAGAATGCAAATAAATACTCATAGAACCATAGTAGAATTAAGGACATCAACAACTGGTACAAAGTTATTTACAACACTTGGAATAGTGCAAAACCGTCCAGACACTGCTCTAACGAATGCCGCGCACCGGATCCATTAGAGAACAGCGGCTGTGTGCTGCCCCCTGCTGGGGAAACACAGGAAGTGACAGTACGGTATATGGCAGGTTGACAAAGTCGATGTGGATGTGACAGAACTTTCTGTCTGCTACACCTTGTGAAGAATCTCTTCAGCAACAAGGGTGAAGACAGAAAAGACCGAGAGGTGGTGCACAGATGGAGGTTTTAGGTCGACACCAAAGGAAAAAGAGAAAATCAAAGAAGCCAAATAAAGTCGCATAAACAAGTAGAGTCAAGAAAATCTGAAGGAATTAAAGTGTTTTTTTTTCCCCTTCAAGGGACCAAAGCAGACAGATGTGAACCATATCATGACCAACGGACACTGAAATAGCAAAGGCGAGGATGAAAAACCTATAACCACATGGTAGGTAGGTAGTGCCCACCACCCCTGAGTGAAAACTAGTTTTAATAAAAAGGTCTTAGCACCGTCAGATACCACAGGACGCCAGCTTTTGTCATTTGTTTTCAGTCCAAACACAGATTGTGACAGGCACGACACATTCTTTAAAGTGCGCTCGCTTCGCTTCAGCTCTTTTCTTTTCACTCACACCTTTTTTTTTTTCTCACTTCTGAAATATTAAGCTCCATTTAAAAACAGCACACAATATTTTATTACATTATTTCCATGCACAGTTAATCATTGCATATTGAAATTTCTTTTTGGACCACTTGTTTTGCTGATTTAAAAAAAAAAAAAAAAAAAAAAGGAAAAGGAAACGCAACACAGACCTTGCAGCAAATGTGGTTGTAAAACTACCACTCCGAGGGTGTTAACGAGTGGGAACCAGTCAACACCAATCAATCCAGTTTGGATTATTGCAGACACACACACACAAACATTAGAAATAACTTATAGGCGCTACTTCAAATACCTCTCTTGAAATACCACTGGCTCCTCGAGAGGCCTATCAAAGAAGAGGTTTGTATTTCAACACAATGCGCTCAATTCTTTTTTTCTTGGTAGACATTCCACACACATCAGAAATCTGATTTTAGTCTACGATCAACACCGGGGCGTAGAAGAGCCGCACACCGAACAAAATGCCCAACGTGTGACGACCTTCTCGTGTCCCGCTGTGCTAATTATATTTGTGCATTGACGATGCATCCGTCCAGTAAACCTGGACTGAAAGAATTACCTCTCAGCATTGATCATTAAATAAATTAAATCATGCCAAAGTTGAGGAAAGTAATACTGCAATCATTAAGATAAAAGAGAAAAATGTTACGACCATGAGATTTGAGAATCTGAAGGCTGATCAGAAGAAGAGATTTGAGAAAGATCGTCATTTCAACCGACGGCTGATTAGGACCAGGAGAGAAAGAGAGTGACAGGAGCCAAACGAAGAGACAGGGTTTTTGTCATACTCCTGAGAGAGAAAGAACAGTGAATACGAGACAGGAAGTCCAGCCATCTCCGTGCACTCATGCAATACATGTGCATCTTTGGCCGTGGACAGCACTGTGGGTGCAGAACAAGTAATACAGAGGGCTAATGCTGACTGGTTTAGCCCTGTTCCACTGCATGCTCAGGTGGGAGGATGAAAGACAACAGGTAACAGGAGACAAAGTACCCTGGCTTAGTGTGGCACCTAAAGTAAAACCGCATTAGCTTTGGTTCAAACAACACAACGCTGCATCCAGGCAGTGTGTGTTTCAGCGTTTTGGCTCGGCTCAGTGTGACTAAGAGGCCCTGTGTCCTTTTGTCTACTGCACCAGGAACAAGTTTAGCCCTTCAAGTTTGCAGGTTGGTTTTGAAATAGGAACAGAGGATGGAGACTCTTCCTCTAGCCCTGGACACAGTCCGAAGTCCTGTTGGGTCTGTGCTGAGAAGAGGCCGAAGAGGAAAAAAGAAAAACTACTGATAAATCCTCCAGTCTCCAGTCAAACAAACTCTCCTTCAGTCACCGAGTGTTATGTGTCTTGGCGGTACCTGTGAAAAGCAGAGACGGGAAAACAATTAGAAGACGACACAGAAGCTAAAAGACAGGTCTGACTGAGGCCAGACATTTAGTTTGGTTGGCAGGAAGGCTTTCCATGTCCTCCACACCAAAAGATATGATGCAGCAAAGTAAACACTGGACTTGCAAGAAATTTTTACCAAGAATATTAATATTTAAAAACATGCACCAAAACATTAAAGGTGGTTTTAGAGTCTTGGATTATATGGCTTAAATGAAAGTTAAATCTTTCAAGCAGATCTTTTTTTCATTGGGTTTAATAATGAACCACATTAAAATAATAGTTTTGTCTTTGCCAAGAGACAGGATAATTGACAGTAACTAATACGTTTAAAAACCTAATGAGTTTTAAAGCGTTCCTCAGATGAGTCAAATTATTCTGATTTACTTCCTTGTCAAAAATCTTGGCCTTAATGTACTGAGGAACAGGTCTTCATTCTAAAGCTTTTGGTTTCCCTTTCACCGCCCTGGGTGTGTGTTTCAGAGAAAGAAATTCATACCCGCTTCGTAAGGAGAACTCGGGCAAAGCCCCGAGGGAGGTCAGCTGTTTCTCCAGAGCCACGATACGCAGACCGATGTAGCCTGAAGACAACAGTAGCAGCACAACCCTGTGGTGAAAAAAAAACAAAACACACAACACGTCATGTTTATAGTCATGTGTTCTTCATCACAGCAGCACGAGAGCTTCATGTCACATGAAGTACAGTATTTCAATATAACAGCCCTAATAAAACCTCGAAGAAATACAGAGATGGAATGAAGTCTAACAACATGTGGTTAGCTGAAACCACCTGCACAACCTTCTAGGCCAGATTCCAGTAAGCGCATGAGTTGACATGACACCTGATAGGGCACCAAGTAACAGTGTGGAATGAAGGTAGTACTTACAAAATCAAATAGATGAAGAGGAGAGTGTTGAGGGTACTGGCCTCTCTCTGAACCAGCAGGGACCGGGCCTTTTCAGTCACATTCCAAACCCATGATCCACCTGCAGCAGGAAAAAGAAAAGTTAGCCCAACTTGTTGTTGTTTTAATTTTAAGCTATTGTGAAGAAATGACACATGGTTACTGAATCCTCAAGTTAAAGAAAATGGAAATTGAAGGGTTATAGCAAATATTCAAATGCAGAAGTGGCCCTATAAATTTCAAACAGTATTTTTTTCCTTTACAGTTTTTTTTTCATAGATCACAGATTGTTTTTAGGAAAGGGAATTGCCCATACAGTTGGTCAAGCCAAAGTAGTAAATCTCCTGTGCCCATTTCAGAAGTAACTGTAAATGTTTTTTAAACATACATTTAATGGCAACAAACATTTACATCTAACTCTCAGAGCCCAAAACAATTGAAAGTCTAGGATGAACCATGTACTTTTCCAGCCAAAACAATTGAAAGTCTAGGATGAACAACCATGTACTTTTCCAATGTTTTACCTGACTCTGATAGCTCCTCTGTAGATGAACTATCAGTCTGGTCTATGTGCAAGCTCTTAACAGTGGACACGTTGTCATTAGGAACTGTTTCTGCAGAAAAGGAGACAAACGGGACAGAAATCAGTTCTTTAATATGGATGAAGTTTAACAAACGGGACAGAAATCAGTTCTTTAATTCGGATGAAGTTAAAAAAACAACTAATCAGATATAAAACACTAAAATAAACAGCCAGATTCAGTCAATTCAACTGAGATAACTTTTGTAATTTGATGTGCTTCAGTCTTCATTACTCCTAGACTACTCACCTCTGCAGGGTCCATGCAGAGGCTGGTCAATTAATGACTGGGACTCGGAGACATCAAACAGGTCCAAGCTGTCGTTCAGACTTGACTGGCTGGAGTTCTGTTGGGACAAAAAAGAATGCGTCCGTTTAAAACCAATTTTAAGGCAGAAAAAAAAGTGCATCTAGCCCATGATGAAGGCGATTACATTTTTCTTCTCGTGTCACTTTTCTTACCACTAGTTTGCTCTTATCAAAGCTGGCTTCAGTTGAGGAGAAGACAGGACTACTATTTGTGCTACCGTCCTGTAAATGAAACAAATGCTTTAATGTTACGTCCCTTAGAGGTTTAAAACAATTATATCAACTGCAGTGAGGGGCTGCTCACCTCCAGCTGAGGACACACTGAACGCAGCAGCTGAAAACAGGACTCTCTGTTCCTCAAGGCAACAAAATGATACTGTATCCAGAGGAAATGGGAAAGTGTGAACTGAATTAATTTTCAGATAAAAATGTGAAACTCAGAGTATAGTTGCATACACTCAGGGTAAAGGAACATACCTTTTCTCCCCCAGTGGTGCGGACTGACAAGGCGTTGGGCACCAGCAAAGCTGTGTTCTGCTTCTTCACTATGTGGATGCAGGAAACTGGAATCACTACCTGTAGGTGCACATGTCCAGAGATAAGAAAAAAGGTTTGTGATGCTTAATAGACATGGACAAAAATCCAGACAGTCTCCAGACTGTCTAAGACAGCTGCTGGTGACGACAAATGTCTGCAGACAGAGATCCAGTCAATTATCCAGACTAAGTGCAAAGTTTGTTAAATGGAAGTTCTAAGCTGTGTCCTCCTGACCTCCTCTGGACCTCAATCATCACAGGTTCATGTTTGTAATTAATGGCCCAAATGAAATCCAATAAAACTTTACCCAAAGAAGTAAGGGGGGAAAGAGGGATTCTTTTTACCTTAGTGTCCTTGAGCAAAACTGAGGAGTAAAAACAGGCGTGGGTGTTTGTGATATACAGTCGGCCGTGGTAGGGCACTTCCTTCTGCAGGGCACAGATGTATGCTGGGAAAGAGGAAGGCCAGGGTACTTAGTTATACATAAAAGTCACACGTTAAGCCAGGTCATGTATGTATTATGTAAAGGTACGTACCATGTATTAAGTCTTCACCTTCAGGAATGTGAGGGAATAACTTGTGGAATGTTTTGTTGTGCTTTATAAAACTCTATAAGTAAACGCAAACAGGAAAGACTCAGGTCAGTAACAAAAACACAAGCAGACAATCATAGGTTTAATGGCTCAAAAGCTGCTTTCAATAAACACGCAGCTCGTCTAAGGACAAACGCAGACACGCTAAACAATGTCATTATGATATATGTGCTTTTGAGCAGAGTGCAGCTCTGTGGTCTATTTAGAATGTTTCTGTTTCATTTGAATGCTTTATTTGAATGTGTGCGTGCGAGTACTTACACTTTGCGTATTTGTGCCTTCCATCTTCTCACACACTCTATTGTCAACGTCGTAAGACTGTGCTCTGCAGAGAAACAAAAGATATGGCATCTTTATGAAGAGCAGTTCGGTTTGTGGAGGGTTGTGTAGGTGTGCGGTGACACAGGAAAACAACACGGCTCGTCAAACAAGCTTGCACTACATGAAATGCTTTTTCACATCCTTCATGTGGGATAACTATCGAGCCCTCTGACTGGCCCACAAAAAAACCTTGAGGTGACTTTGTCTGACTTTGTCACTTATGACAAAGTCAGGCAGTAGCATGTTGAAGGCATGGTGCAACGTAAAAGTTTTATTAAGCAAGAAAGAGGAAATAAAAATATATAAAACAGATACTAACAGTTTCTCTAATGTCAGTGCTTATAAAATGTACTTTATGTTTTAAAATAGGGGCAGTTCAAAGAAAGAGTGACTGTGCTGCTAGTCTGATGTCATTTAACACATCTGGTGACATGTATATCATCTGTTGTACAAAGTATGAGTTAAAATGAAAGGATAAGTTAAATTTCTCACATGACTGACATTTTGGGTCCAGTTTTGTGATTCATATACAGTCTTAAGTTCATGGAATATTATGATTTCACAGAATCATAGAAAACTGGAGAATCATTGAAAACCCTAAGTGACAGTTTTTATTATGGGCCTGCCTACCTGATTGCTACTTGTCGGCTGAGGGTTTTGTGCTGTTGCTGGATGTCAACATGAGCCGTCTCCAGACTCATGGCTTTCCTGGTCTCCACCTTCTTGATGCTGCCATTGCTTATGGTACTCTTGCTTTTCTTCAGTTTGTCCGGCAGCCCGCTGCCAGAGCCTTCTACTGGGTAGTTACTGCATAAGAAGGAAGACGGGAGAAGGAGAAGCATACATTATGTGAAATGTCAAATAATTTGTTATTACTAAATAAATTATACCTTTTTTTAAAAAAAATAGGCATCCTGATAAAACTGACACTGTCCTGCCTTGTTTTTAGTTTAGGAAGTACAGGCATTAAAATGATAACCTTTAAAAACATACAGATGTACAGAGTCCAAAAAATATAATCACAATTATAATGACTGACTGACAAAAAAAAAAAATCACAACATAAAAACATGGTTAATTAAAGATTAACAGTCAACAGTCACAAAAAACCCTGCTGCCAAAGGACTACTTGAACAATTTCTCAGACTAAATGCTTAATACATTGTTTGGAAATTTAAAAAAGTAAAAAACGGTGTTTGTTTGTTTTTTTAACTGGAGACAAAATTGTTAAAAATAAATTTTATCTTGTGGTCAATTAAAAGGCATGATTTTCAGTTTTAAACAGTTAGTAAACAAAGAAGTTGCTTTAGAGGAAGGAAGTAAGTCAAAATTCACACGATGGGTGAAAAACAACTTTAAATATTAAAAATCACACACACACACACACACACACACACACACACACTGAAGACATATGAAGCAAAAGTCATTTTACCTGGTAAATTTAAAACGCTGTGATGAACGGAAGCTATATCTACTGGTTGTAGGCATTTCCTCTAGTTTTCTAAAGACGATCAAAAAAAAGGGCTAGACCTGGTTCAAGCCATTAAAACAGACAGAAAAAAAGAAATCAAAAAGATTTACAAATTCTAAATATCTTAGTCCAAAATTGTTCTTCTTAAACCAGACCTTCCTTCATATCATGGTGATAGACTGAACGGTTGTGTTGCTGTATTGCTGCTCCTAAAGAGGAAGTCACATTGTGTTGAGAATGGTGTGACACTCCGTAAAGGGTGACGTCAAACCAACCACTCCCCCTGAGTGTATAACAGGCTCAAACTCTCTCACTTTCACATACACATACAAACACAAACAACAGGGTGCAACCCAAAGAAGTAGAGGTATAAACATGATATTTGTATCAATTCCAATAATAATGGCTCTACCATAATAGTCTGTGTATGGTAGGCTGGGATCATACATGAAACAGGTTTGTGTATGAGAGAGAAAGTCAAATACTTCAGAGGTGCTCAGACTCGCCCATGGAGCAATAGCTAAGACTTGTAATCCACCACCTCCCTTCAGGCACTCAATCCGACAAAGTTGAATTTGGGGGAAAACAAAAAACATGACCCAAATTTTGGCTTTTAACTCACTCAGTGTTTCTAATTATTATAAAATCTGAACTTTGACCTGGGCTTTAAAATAACACAGCAGATTCTGAGGAAACCCTTTCAAAATGTATGATTTTATTTACTCCTGTCTGAGTAAAACTAAACAATTTCCCACTCATATGAGTAACTGGGTGAAAGATCTGAGACAAACAAAAAATATTTGAATTTATTCAAATTATTTACCTATAGGGTAAATAAACACATAATTAAAATTAATTCAATTATTCTTTGACCTTTGAATAACTAATATTCTAAGCAGACAGCTCATATTAGATTTTTTTCAGAACTATTCCAGGGTGTTTTTCCACAGATGGTTTATGTTCTTCTAAATGTGTCATTAGAGTTAAAAGCTATCAGTTACAGTTCAGTTACTCACCACAGTCATTTTAAACCAACAGGTTTGGGTAATTGTATGTGCAGCTTGTAATTGTCTAAAAAGGAAACTTTGTGGAGTTTCACAAGGTGTAATAGTTACTTCGCCTGTCTTCTAACAGAATAAACCTAGTGCAATTTTTTTATAATTTCATATACACCGGCTGGGTCTTATGGGGTCACTGTATCTAAAGCTTAAGAAACCATGGCTTATGTAAACAATATAAATAACTTACAAACATTGTGGGCAGACAACTATTGTGGCTGGTGTTTAAACTGTGACAACACACTGTGAGAGCCTTTTTAACTGCAAGTGTCTGACTGTTGACTTAGCATGCTCACATGACCAATGTTAAAGACTGTGGCATAAGGAAAGTAAGGCCATAAGCAGTCCTCACAGAGGTCATCACCTGGTATATGTCCTAACAACTTCCTGTCATTGCGCAGATATGACCGTTACCAATAACATCAGGCTATAGCTGCTTCCTGTAACACGTATGACCCCCATAGAACCAATGGAAATTGGTTTTCTTTGCCAAGGGTGTACAGTCTTAAAAATATTACGACACTCAGAAAATTCTACTTTGTATCATGTTCAATGTACAGATGCAAGTAAGCTATAAAAATGTAAGAATGCCATGATCAAACACGTATAAAACAATTCCAGAAAACCTATAAACTTTTTTATTTAGGCCAAAAATATGACATATATATACGAGAGCGGGAAACGTCAAAGGCTGTAGCAAAATGACCTACGTACTCTATAAAAGTGGTCACTGAATGACTTTATTGTCAGGACCAAGTGGCAGCTTTAAAATAGTTGTTCATGGTCAGACGTAGGCCTTGACCTTTTACCTACTTTTTAATTGGCTCATTGAGTCATAAAAGAGGAGCAACTTTTGTTAACACTCCTTAGATTTCATAACTAGCACAGACATTTCAAACTCTTCATGGCTAAGGATGGAACAGAAGACGCAATTTTCTAAAGCACAATAAGGAACCTGTTGTTTCACTGGAGGGAAACTACAGCACTGCAACCCAACCTCACACAATGCAATGTTTTTCAAAGCAGAAATTACTGAAACACATTTCAGTTTAATCAATTTCTTAATCAGTGTTTGTTTTACTATCAGCTGTCAGAGAGTGGAGACATCGCTACATCATAAGGTTTAAATGCTTGTGGGTCTGAGAGTTACAATGCTGGAGTGTTTCCTTGATCCACAGAGCTCCTAAAACAATTATTAACAGTTTTGTTCAAATACACTCCTCTATTCAATACACCCTTAGAATACAAGGATGTGTTTCGATTTGACAACAATTTATTTTTCCTACCTTTTCTCAGAGAGACAAGAATCAGCTACACAGCCCTGGGTGTCCATAAAGCCCTTCGTTTTGTCCATGACCAACAACTGTTTCTCTTTGTGTTGCCCAGAATGCCAGAGAGCATGTAGCCAGCACGACTCAAAACAGCTGAATCACACAACCCCGTAGCAACTTTTGCACTTAAGACTGAGCCCCGTCAGGGAGTAAAGGTCTGTTTTACTGCAATGCTTTGAGGCACTAAGAAGCTCAACGTTAAGGCAAAGACAGCTATATGCAGCAGGAAAAAGGATGAGGAAGAATAGAAAACAAAGGGGGGTGAGTGGGGAACAAGCGCTAGCTTACTTTGTCCTTTCATTGGCAATCTGGCCCTGTGTCGTCATGGGAACTTTTAACAACTGAATGGACGTGATGGAATGGGGGGTTGGGAAGAGTGCTACTAAAAATTCTTTAGGCAGCATGCTGAACAAAACAAACTCAGTGGCTTGATTTCCACCACAAATAGGAGGTAACAGAGTAAAAGTCTAAGCAATATTTGGACCGCTCTTTACCGATGTTAATACACAAGGACATCCGTCGTGACTTACGAGGAAAAGAGACTATTTCTACATCTATGACACCACCGTCCACGAAACCCAATCACAAGGTTTAAGACTTCTGTCAGTGTTTAAATTTAGCTGCCACACATCATTACTCACTTCCCTCCTCTGACCTCTGCCTGCCATGTCTTAACTGTAAACGCCATGTTATTGAAACTCATGGTCAACACGATAAAGCTGCAGTACCATAAATGATGTCTTCACAGGATAAAACAGAGGTTTGATCTAATGCTGATGTCAAAATGTTTCTAGAGAAAAGTAACATCTACAGCTGCAGGCTTTTATGCAATTCAACAACAATTACATTCAAAGTACAACACGGTAATCTGTCAGCAGTCGGCTATTAGTACCCAAAGTGCACCATCTCCTGGTGGTTGCTGATTCATCATCAGATTCTGTTTGTTTAAGTCTAAATGGCCAGAACTCTTGCAGGCTTGCAAATTAAACATAAATGCATGGCCATTTATGCTGTAATTAATTAAAACTCATGTGTTTGTGTGTCACGAGAACAATCCACGGGTACCAGTTAACTTTGCTGTGGTTAATTATCAGTTTCTTGGAAATATGTTAAAATGGTCTGACGTTCAACTCCTCCAATCACAAAAATATGTCAGCTGTGCATACACATTAGTTTATATAGTGTCTCATTAAACTATCTTTCTCCATCATCATAACTAAAAATGCATGTTAAAAGACAGTGAGACAGTCAGTGCATGATAACACACCCTGAGGCAAAATGTTTGTTAGTATAATTATGTGTTTAACTTTCCAAGAGTCTACATCCGTTTCAATCGTCTACAACAATTTACATGAAATATGCTTCAAAAAGAACCACTCAGGAAACCAAAATGATGGAGGAGGGAGGAGAGAAGGCAGCAGTGGATATGGCAAAGTAATAAGGTGTGTGTGTGGCACACCGCCAACCTGTAGGAACACTTCCTGCATGTGTGTCAGATGGCACCGAATGCATTGCTGTGTGTGTGTGTGTGTGTGTGTGTGTATGTGCGTGTGCGTAACAAGAGATCAGTGTAGGCCTGAGTGGAAAATCATGTGGCCTCTGTGCAAGTAGCATCTCTCTCCACTTCCGCTCTGGTAACTGGGCATCAAGACAGAGAGTGCCTTTATTTCAGGCAGCCAGCCATTTGAGCAGGAGTGGCATGGTGTTGTGGGACTGTGAAAACTCACCTTACATAAAAACCATGAAAAGCTAAAGTAGGCCACTTCACTTGAGCTCAAATGGGATCTACGGCATTATCTTAGTTAAGGGTGACATTTCAGAACAACAGAATTTTTTAGGGTAAGTCCTACTGACCAAAACCTATACTAGAATGAAAGAAAATACAGTACACAAATACAGTGGATACTTTTGTGGGCCTTTTTTTAACAAAAACTAGTGGAACCATGGAATTAAACCACTTTGATGAGCCAGACATATACTGTAATCACTCTCAGTGAAATTACGATGCAATTGATCACAGCAAACTTCATCCTATACTTAAAATTTGAGCAAACATCAGATATTTTTATTAACGCTTTTGAAAAGCCATCTTTAAAACCTCTCAACCCTTTGGCCTATGAATACGCACATATAAAAAACAGAAAGCTTTTAATTATTATCTGCTAACTATACCAGCATAGATGTGGTCATTAACAACTACCCAGACAGGCAACAGAATCATTAAAGCATGGCCAACCGTTGGTCATGCAGCCTTTAATTTTACCATTAAGAGTCTTTTAGATGAAGTGCTTTTTTATCTTTTAACTTGGGCGTTCCAGCTGCACATGCAGCACATCTCATATTTTTAACCTACACACATCTACACTGCTTGCTATGGAAAGTGGGCTCCGTCTTAGCAACATCTTCCTGGAGCCAACAGGATGCCTGTAAAGCTGCCCCACCCGACTGATTCCAAAGCAAGTGCTGCAAGATTTACAACAACAAGTTCTCTTCCACTTTCTCCCACTCTCTCCGTTTAAAGTGTTTAGTTGCTGAGCTGTACAGAAACCAATGAATAATAAATTATTAGTTTTACATTGAGGGTAAATTACCCTGAACTTAATTAGAGGTGAGATGACTGGTTTTACTGATTGAAAGCAACACATGAAATGCAACTGAACACAGGACACACTTAAGGAAATACTATTCGAACTATTTAAAGAGCTTACATCACTTAAAATAATTACTTCTACCATATTTTAGAATTTGTGTAGAGACAGTCCTTGGGACAAAGCATGCCTTATCCCAGACAAGACAGAACAAAAAAGCCCACTTCACACTTCGCACTTTACATACATTCACTGTATTTGCATGTGCAAATAGATGTGGTATTGAAAGTTGTGAACGACTAGCCTTAAACGCTTGTCACATAATGAGAGGCAGCTATACCTGAATATCAGCAGGTCTGGAGAATAGGCATCCAAGAAAGAATTGGGCAGTTATTAAAAATAACATATTGTATATTACAAGACCGATTCAGTGTTTTTCTATTTGTTGGTCCACAATTACCATTACTTTATAAAGTAGTTGAGTATTTGGTTATGATAAGCCTGTTATCCTCTGCATACAATGGATACGGGTAAATGGGTATGTACATAATAAAATACTTATATATATATGGGTTTTAAATACCATAAATTCTAGTCACTAATATTAAGTGAGGATATTATACGTCAAACGCTAAAGATAGGGTAACAAAAAAGGTCCTAACAACTTCATGATAGAGATCTAAGTATTGTAACGGATTTGCTAACGCTGAGGCTAATTTAAATGCCCACGTATTCGTCTGGAGGATTGCTACCATGATAGCATCATCTTAATGCGTGTTCAAAAACGCAGCATTCGCCGAAAAATACATGTATTGATATAAAACACAGCCCAATACTGATGTATTTTCAAAGAATGTAGTCAGATATTATTAAAAATGTGGTTGACAGTAGATAAAGCCTTAGCCTTTAGCCACCTCCACCCTATATGGCGAGGGTGATGCTCGCCGGTAGATAGCGGTTCGGCTTTAGCCGCATTCATTCCACTCACCTCTCTTTCATGAAGTGCTTGATTCGGACGATTGCCTTCTCGTCGATTTTCCGGATAAAGGTTTTCAATCTCTCCCTCTTGTTTTCAAGCATTCTTCTCCCTTCAGGCAGCGGCGTGTCGATTCTTGTCGAAGCGACGCTGCACGCCAAACACCACCGTCCTTGTTTTGGCTCCTGTATTTTTTTCTCTCCTCGCGTCATCTAAGTCTGATTAGGATAATGAGCTAAAATCGGACCAAGTCAACCGACCAATCAGCAACAGTGACGATGTTGCAAAAATGTGGTCATGTCAGAGGCTCACCAATCAGAGCGGAGTTGTTGGCCACGAGGGGCCGTCCATCGCCTTATATGGTATTTGGGCGGTCAGATTGTGGATATAGAGGGATAGACAGTAAGTAGGGTCTGTGCTGCTATACTGCTTTTGCAGACATTATAGTCAATAACAATACTTGCATTTCCAAGAGTTCACCTTGGAACACACTGGGGCGTACACCCCTTAGGTGAAAGGCAGTGTTTATCCTGTCTACCAACGGAAAGTACCACACGTGTTTATGTTATTATGAAATATTTTGTAAAAACTGTTATAATACCACAGTTAATTATGTTCAGTAAAACTGTGGCCTAATGTACTGGTAAAATCAAAGATAATGAACGGAATCAGTCAAAGATTTATTAATCATATTTTTTCTTTGGTAATGGCTGACTTTTAATGAAAATGAAGGCCACAGTGACTCAGATGGGGCAGGCAGTTCCTCAGCTGGAGGCTTTATTGTCATGCACAGAACATTACATTTCAGCCCAGCTCTGTGAATGAAGCAAATGAAGGGCCATTCGTTTCCAACCTCCCCCCCTCACTGCAGAGAAAAGCAACAACTGGTAAAGTCACACCTACTGAGCAATCAGCAGACCAAGGCCACAAGACCAAAGTGTAAAAGCCCTGTTAAAGTCACGATGGTGTGTTGGTTATTACTCCTGTGCATGTGTGTGGGCATATGTGTGTGTGTCACATTAAAACATTTTATTTAACAACTACCGTGTAATGTTATGGTAAATATTCCAGGAATCACAATTCAATATTTGTTTGTCACACATACACACACATTGTTAGGATTTTTACACGTTTTTACCATGTGTATTTTGGGATATATTGAATATTATACTGGGGAAGTGCAGTAACTTCCTGTTTTAGAGTAAAACACTAAGTTTTAATACCATAACAGTCACACACAGAGGGATATTTAAACTAACTGCCCTTGTCTGATCTAGGAAGAGATGACACGACAATGGCTCAGTTTAACTGATATAAATGTCTTTATAATCAGAATCTAAAAATGCCCATCATTTGAAATAATTTGGCATTTGATATAAAAAAGCATTTTGGTTCTTCTGATGGAGAATTGCAGTAAGTGTAGTTAAATTTTGGGTTGTGCTCAAAGGCTGTGTTCAAAGAAAAGCTTTTCTAAAAAGGTCATATATTACCAGCTTGAACAAACACTGACCTTGGGAGGAGAGCAAGTAACTTGGCTGTGAAGCCACACTGTGACGCACGGACAGCTGCAGCCACGCACATTACAGAACAGGTGGGGAGAAATGCTTATTAAGCAGGATAAACAGCCCATGGCCGGCTCTCCGCTCACTATACAATAGTGGATTGAAGCAAGCATTGCATTAAGGAAACTCATGGTTGTTGCTAGAAATAGTAAATGAAGCTTTTACAATGAATACACATACAGTATCAAGGCTATAATGTCTACAGGGGATACCAAGGAAATCACATGGGTGATAATGCAATAATTGCACTTTGTTTTTTGTCTGTTAATCGGTTACCAGGTTAATTTAATTTAGGTATATTCTAACATGTGAGGTTTTCCCTGCCACATCGGTAGAATTCACTGTGGTATAGAAAACTAGAAACATAATATAAAATACTATATAAATTGTTATCAACATTGTATTTGTTGGCTCTCTGTGGGGTCAAAAAGGTCAACGGATCACCAGAGGTTCACCCCAGCAACAGCCTGTTGCATTCAGTGTGACCAGCGATGGTAAAAAAAATGGAGGTAGGTGAGTGCTGGGGGTAACTTCTCTTTATCCAATGATATCATCTTACGAGTAGCACTGAGCCATTGTCTGTGGCCATTGCTGTACAAGTTATTCTGCATGTGCCGGTGCTTTCCTCATTCATAAAAATTCTCCCACTTTCAGGGTTTCATAAAAGTTATAAAATACAACAGGAGGGATGAGATCATTATCCATGTGGTAATGAATTGAAGCAGATATGTTTTGTTTGTGCTTTCTTAGAAGAGAGTCTCAGGTGTAACACACACAACCCTAAACTCAGAGGGTGTTGGGTTTCTACCTGGCAGGGCTTGGCAGGCCTGCTCCAGATACTGTTACAGGCTGCTCTCATCACTAATTCATCTATGCTCCTCATCACAAAGCTCTGGGTGGCTGGTGGATGAGCTCAGCAGGGTGACAAAGACAGTTTTCCTCCTCTCTGCCAGAGCAGTGCAGTGCTGGGGCTCCCCACAGGAGCACCACACCTGAGCCGGGGCCAATGCAGAACGGGGAGGATATGAGCCCACAGGAATCCAAGCCTGGAGAGTCAGAAACCATGCAGGAGCAGAGAATTCAGAACCACAGCCAGAATGAGAGATGCGTCGAACCTACAGCACCTCCACTACCTCCGCCATCACCACCACCACCGGGACCACCGGAATACCCGAGGCCGAGACTCATCTTCCACACTCAGCTGGCTCACGGGAGTCCCACAGGCCGCATCCACGGATTCACCAACGTCAAAGAGCTTTATGCCAAGATCGCAGAAGTGTTCAACATCTCCCCGTCAGAGGTACAAAGCAAATGCAAACAGAAGTGAAATTGATACTTTGTGACATTAACACTACAACATATAGTCAGTATAAAGGTGGTTACACTCCTTTTTTTTTACATTCTTCACCCGACAGTTCTTGTTGCAAATTGGTGTAAGGTTTCCATTCTAGGCACAGTTCCATGATGTGCTATTGGAGATCTTTTGCACTCACTACTGTCTGATAGACTTTGTACTTGTCTGTGCCTTGACCAGGATCAATAATGGAAACAAATATCCAGAAAAAAACATTCTGTTCATGGTAAACATTGCGATTGTAAAACCATGTGGGTTTCTTTTGATAACAACAACATGGAATTAAATCCCTGTTTTCATTCACATTTCTCAATGATTTGAAAACAGGTTATAAAAGTTAAACTGCTTTATTATATTGTTATTTACAGTATGTAAACAACAATCACTGTACTATATATATCTGATGTTTATTGATTGAAATGCTCCAAACACCATTTTATTTATTTACAAACCTGGCAGAAGAGATTTTGATATTTATGCTTGATATTTAAACATTTTCTACTAATTTTTATTGTGTAAACCAATACTGGTGCTGATTGGTCCAAAAAGTGAGATCTATATTGGGTTGGTTTAAACATAGGCCTCAAACCAATTGCCCATTAGTAGAAAGTACAAGTAAATTAATGTCCTTTTGCTGTATATAAATGAACACATTTCATATTTAATTCACCTGAAAGTAACACTGTAGAAAATTCCAAACTTGGAACATATAACATAAGAAATTGTCTTGCTTTAGTGTCTACACTGTGTTTTATATGAAATGATTACACAGTCAAGTTAACTGATTCTGCTGAAGTGGGTAAAACATATATTTTACTGCCAGGCCAAACCTGCAACAGAATCAACAGAATTGAAAAGAAGAATTCCAGGCATCAAATCTTTAGTAGGTCTGCACTGCAGTTTGATACTTCTCTGCTCTCAGGGCAAGAAACAACAGGAGGTATTTCAAGGTCAGGTAACCTGCAACAAAAAAGCTACATTTAATTTGGTCTGTGTAAATGGCTGAGACTACAGGCCACCCAAAAGAGTTTTTTTGTATCTATATAAAAAAGACACAAAAAACATGTTATTCGTTTTTTTGCTGTTTTTTTTTTTTAAATCTGGCATTGACATGATAAACATACACAACGTATCACAATCCATAGCAACAGTCCTTATCAGGAAACACCCAGAAGAACCTTGGCCTGTTGTCACCTCCGGTTATGAAAGTTGCAGTTTCCATCTAAAGTTTAAGATCATAAGTGAGTTGTTTTTTATTTTATAATTTATATTAGTAAGTCTTCACCTGCAGTACAGACTTGGTGCTGTATTATTATAAACCTCTTAGAAATGCACTGTGCTGCAGTAGTAGGATCACCGCCTGCCATTAAAACATTCTGGGTTTGTTACTATTGAGCCTGAAATCCCATGTTGGGTTGCATCAGGAAGGACACTCAGTGTAAACCCCCTGCCAAACCACTCTGTCAATTACAGCTGTGGAGAACCATAATGTAATGTGGGTCTGGTGGCCAACTATTACTGTGAAAGAAAGTTTTTGTAAATCACATGAGGAGTTATACAAACAGTAGATATACTATGTTTTATTTGCACAGGCCCATTAACTACCCTCTGCAGGGAAGCGGGCCATGACCACAATACGTGTTCTATGTTTGCACTTCCAGCAGAGTGAACAGTGAAGCAACCGTTTAATTCTGTAATCAGAAAAACAGGACTTTTGGACAGATACTATGTATATCCCTTGGGTTTTTCCTTCAAAGCAGGGACAAGAGGAACACTCATTAGTCAGAAACCTTGTGGGAAAACCCATGAGACCAGCTTCCATCAGCCACAGCACGTACAGGACACTGCGTTGACATCATGGTTGGACACCATCTACTGTATTTATTCAGATGTTCTGACTGTAGTTAATTTCATAACGCTCCAATTTAAGGGACCTTGAACTGGAGTCCAGATACTTGTCAAGTTTAGATACCAGAAAACTTGCCTTGAGAATATCAGACATTAGTTGGTGATAGCGTGAAGTAAAACTCTTTCCTTGACCTTCTGTGGATGGAATAGCGGTAGCATAAAGTTAAAGAGATGACCTTGGCCTGCCATCACACTTTTGCCAAAGAAAGTGTCACAAGTAGTGTCATGCAGGAATTGTACTGAGGGAGATAAGGCCTCAATCAAGTTATCTCCAATTTCCGTTACAGATTGTGAAGCTCAACTTGAACTTTGACACAAGGCTTCAGATTGTCACAGGGGAAACTGGGTAACAGAAAACAAAACAAAACAAAACCATCTAGCATTAAACTATATATGAATAAGGAGTTTGGTTTGAATGCAATTCAAATTAGGTATAGCAAAAATTCAAACGTTGAACCCTGAAACATTAGATGCAGATGTTATAAATTCATACAGATTCTAACATACTTATCATAAAAGATGTTATGTTATATAATTAAGTATGTTAAGTCTTATCTAACACCATAACAACCTCAGTCTATTTCTTTCTTTCTTTATATCTTTATTATATCTTTAAAAAAAGGATCCCAAAAACAAAATGCAAATAATAACTATAAGTATTTTTTTCTTTTCCTTTTTTTCATTTGTTGATGACTATTAGTCCAAACGTTTATTTTATTAAATTTATTTCAAATTGTCAGTTAAGAGAAAAGGAAGAAAATGGACGCCGAAACAAAACGGATTAAACTTCACTGCCCTCCAGTGTTTAAACTCTGAATAACACTAAATACTCAGAATCAACTGTTGGCCAAGTATGAGAGCGCATACAAGGAATTCGACTCTGGCTTTTTCGACCCTTATTTAGAATCACAGCCAAGGATCAGTCTAATCACAGAGGAGATAAATGCACAATAAATTAACAGCCAAACAAAGAATCTAACAGTGAGTGAGGCAGACGCCTTTTTTGATTTTTATAGAAGTTTCTGATGGTCTAAAAAGCCACCACTTATTGTTGAGATAACCAAAGACAAATATTTACCCTGAGCTCGTACAGTCCATTTCATCATCCGGTTCATTGCCTCATGCAATGAACAAGTTAAACTAAACACCAGTAGCTGAAATATTGTCTGAAAGTGAATTATGTATCAGTTTAGTTAAACTTTAGATTGTTATTTTCCTGCTTCTCAGTCAGTTGTGTGGAAAATTTAGTCTTTATTTATAAGATTGATAAGATTGAGATAAACAATTACACTGCAGAGAAATGACCAAGCTGCAAGTATACATGATACACGTAATTCATATAAATAACATTGGAAAAATGGCATCAAACAGAGATAAAAAAGTCATTAAAATATACTTTCACTTTCATGACTTTTATTTTTATACAACATTTATATTAATATTATTTACTTTTCTATGTTGACTTAAACCGACCATGAACACCTTTTGTCTGAGTTGAACTACAGTAGCTACATTCTTCATTCAGTCACTCTATCAATCATGCAGCAATTGGAATATTATATTAATTAATATTAAATATAATTTGGAATAGCCTTTTCTTGGTTTTGGCAATAATACAAAAATATAAATGTGTGTACAAATAAAACAGAAATATACGTATTGCATAAAACACAGAGATTAATAAACATCAGCGTACATTTAGTGCATCCATGTTTTTCACTCACTACTATAAAGGTCCGGCTAGCAGTAGCAACTTAGCATTCGAGTCCCACTTTCACTTAACATCAACAATCTCTCGATAGTCGCTTTACTTTAACTCGTAGGTACACAGCTAATTACTAAGTCACATATTCAACTCATAACATCTAGTATGTTGACCTGGTTGAGTATATATTAACTGACCTGTGGTAAGAATAAAGGACACACGTTTTGCTTTGCTGATTATCATCACTACAGCAGGATATATTTTACTTCCTGTGTTCGCGCAATTCCCTTTCAACCACAAATGTGATGCGCCCTCTAGTGGACTAATATATGTCATAGCAATGTGGTAATGTGAGTCCAAGCGAATGATTAAATTAATAAAAATAAATTAAAAAGGATAGAAAATATAGTAGGGGTGTCTGTTTTTTTCTTATCTAATTGTTACGATGTTTTCTACTTTTCCCTAACATTTCCAACCCTCTACACAAACAAAGCTCTACACGTATTGACAATTTTGTTGGTACAAAAAAGTCACATGTCAGTTAGTATTTTAAAATCTGCTACTAGCTACTTTGCACATTAAAAACCACCTAATTATGTGTGAAAATAAATGTTATAAAAGTTACACTTATTTAAATGATTTTGGTATGTAATTGGTATATATGAGATCATGTGTCAAATACACTCTTGAATCTTTTTTCCTTCACTTGGTCAGATCCTGTTCTGTACCCTCAACTCTCACAAAGTGGACATGCAGAAACTACTGGGAGGTCAAATCGGACTGGAGGACTTCATATTCGCTCACGTCAGAGGAGAAACCAAGGAGGTGGAGGTGACAAAGACGGAGGACGCACTAGGCCTCACCATCACAGATAATGGAGCAGGATATGCTTTTATCAAGGTAGATGATTAATGGTCATTTCCAGGCTAATTCGTTAAAACTAGTATACATGTTTTAATAAACCTGGATCATGTTTGATAAATTCTAATTATATTCTATCTTTAAAAATTATTTTGTTAAACTTTAACAGTGTATGTCCAAGCATTGGCTCACTTAGCTTTGGGCTTTGGGCCTTTTGTTATATTAACTTTATTTCTCATCTTTGCTCAACTCTGTTCCCTTTAACTTTTTTTCCACCCATTTTATTATAATGTTGTACTAATTTGCCATTTTCTTTGCTATTGGACATATGATGATGATTGAATTGAATCTGACTATGTTCTGTCTGATGTTGTTAGACATATATTGCGCGATAATGTGAAGTACAGATGGTGTCCAATCTGCATGGGCTAAATTTCATTATGACTCTAGTTTAACAGTGTCATTTGTGAAAATCCAAAGGTTAGAAAACATTAACAACAACATATGAAGCCTTGTCTAATGACGTGGATTAAAATATGAAAAACAAAAACTTACAGATAAAACTTTTTCTTTTTAACAGAGGATAAAAGAAAGCAGCACTATAGACCGGCTGAAGACTGTTTGCGTTGGCGACCACATCGAGGCCATTAATGACCAGAGCATTGTGGGCTGTCGACACTACGAAGTGGCCAAGATGTTAAAAGAGCAGCCCAGGGGTGTGCCCTTCACTCTTCGTCTGGTTGGACCCAAGAAGGCCTTTGGTGAGAGTTACTGCTCATTCTCATTTGGATTAACAGACCATTAAAAAAACAACAACATGCCATTAGACTGAGGGAAGGAACTAATAATAACAAGGTCCGCATTCAGTGAATACATCACTGTGTCAGTATGAACTCCAATGAGTTCACATTAGTCCTCAGCATCAACAAGTGGATAATAAGTCCTCCAGCCTTGGTGGCTTTTAATTTCTGTGCTTTTCGTTATCGCAGCAGCCACACAGGAAGAGGAAAGGGTAACAGTTTAGAGAGCAATGGCCAGACGCCAGCAGAGTCATTAACTAACTGTTGGAACTCAAATTAATCGTCCTTGACCGAGGTGCTATTATTTTAGCACAGCTTCAAATGGGGAGAGTGTGTTCATGGGTGGCCATGCAGAAAAATAATTTGATGTTGATTATCGCACATAAATTAACTGTAAAACTAAATATGTGCAGGCAAAGGTCGGAATGCACTGTTAGTAGCATCTGATGTTTCTGCTCTTAGAGTTAGATTTAATAAGGAATAGTGGGGGGAAAAAGAAAACTTTTGTTTTGGCTATGGTTTGTAATATGAATCAATTTTATTTTCTTTGCTGGCTGAAGTGTTCATTCCCAGCCATGCCATGCAGAGAGAGAAATTAAAAAGGCTGCAGGGGATTTTTCATCACAATGCAACCACAGGAGAATTCAAAGATCCTCAGAAAGTGGATATTGCCCAGTGATGCATTGCATAAAGTCCAGGTTCTGCTTTTACAATTTAACTCCAGGCATAAGACATAAGATAAAAAAAAACAAAAAACAAACAAAAAACCAAAGGAAAAATAAATCTTGGTTTGCAGACACCAAAGGAAGCTGAGCTGTAATAGTATATCTATTTGGCTTTGTTATGGTCGGCCCTTAATACAAGCTCAACATTCTTCTATAAAGGGCTCAACATTTCTATATATTCAGTAAGATATTTAATCACACACACACACACACACACACAAATTTATCCAAATTTTGTCCAAATGTATTTAAATTCTCCATCCTCTTTTTTTTTTTTTTAAATAAAACTTTGAACAGAACTTGTATTTCTCAAAAACAGGAAGCAGCTTATACATTTGTTACACAGAGCAGAGACGTCAGCCCTGGAATGGATGTAGATACAGGAACACAACAAAGTGGTTCAGGAACACAAAGTGGTTTTGGAGCCTGATTGTCTCCCCAGTCCAGTCGGAAGCCATAAAAATCCCCTGTGTTCCCACTTTTCATTAACCTTTTCTATTGTCTTGTGTTGCCACGTCTACTGTCACCTCCACCTTTACTTACAGTCTGTGTTCTGAAGCTTTTAATCGTAACAAGAAGCCAGTATTAAATAAGAAAGAATTTTCCTGAGAATAAGTAAAAATTAAAAAAAAAAATTAAAAATTAAAAAACTGGACAAATTGAAGATTTGACCTCTGACAAAATATCTCGAAGATCATAAGCATTCAGCAGCAGTATCCATCCTTGACCAATACACTCCAAGGAGTTATATGTTCTAGATTTACTATACTATACTATACTATACTATACTATACTATACTATACTATACTATACTATACTATACTATACTTGCACACCACTTAGGTTTAATTCTGTCTTTGTTGTTTTGGGGTCAGATATGATTGGAATGAGGACCCGAGCCCCAAAATCCACGGAGGGTAAAATGGTGAATGGGAGGGAGACGCTGCGTCTGCGCTCTAAAGGAGCTGCGACAGTCCAGGAAGTGGTGAGTTTCACACGCTCGACCAGGGTCGTGGCTGTTTCAACTTCCTGTTGAACCGACATAGACATGGTGCCACACGTACACTCATCATACTGACCCCTCAGCTCCACAGAACTGTTATGGAGCAAATGGAACGACTTGCAGCTGACTGCACCCTGCAGTTACTCAGTCTCTTGTCCACACACAAACACACAAAGCTAAGGATAAACACTGGACACTTTATCAAGGGAACAGTGTTTGTCCTCAGAAATCCCAGCATAAACAAAAATACATGACTTACATACACAAGTTTTCATAGATCACATTTATGTCATTACATGTCATTACAAAGACTGTCACATTCTTGTAGCGTTTGTAAAAGGGTGGAAATGCTCTCATGGAGTTTCCATTCCCATATATAGAGTGTGAAGACTAGTGACTTTGCCATAATACCTTGGCTGAACTTCCTTGTCTGCTCCACCAGCAGAATGAGTTTGAAGAACGAGCCACCAAGAAAGTGGATGACCTTCTTGAGAGCTACATGGGTATCAGAGACCTGGAGCTGGGTAAGAAAAACGTTTGACTCCGTGTTTGGTGATGTTCCCGAGCTTGTACTTTCTTGTTAGTAGTGCATCGCTTAATCTCTGGTATGCTGGGTTTAAACTAACCTGTGTTGATCTTGATTGGAAAAATTCTTGATAAAAAACATTTTTGTTCTCAACATGTCTGTTGCTCAACCACAGGCCTAAAAAGATAGAAATTGGAAATTCCATAAAAATATAAATAAACAGCCATTTTATTTACGTTTCACTCAGACTGTAAACAGTAGATGTTCCAGAGTATGCAGTGAATCCTCTAAGAAAAGAGGTTACATCTGCCAACACATGCTTAAAAAAAAGCTTAACTAATTTTGATTTTGGCCATGGGCACTGTGAGTCCTGAAACTATTTGCCCCTTCTCTTGGCAGCAACAACCATCGTGGAAGCTGGCAAAGACAAGAAGAACCCTGATGACTTTGCACAGGCCTTGGATTCAGTCCTGGGAGACTTTGCTTTTCCTGATGTTTTTCTTTTCGATGTATGGGGAGCTATAGGTGACGTGAAGAACGGCAGAATGTAAAACCCCTATATCCCATAAAAAGGCTGTAATTAGGGAGGGCTTCTACAGCAGCAGCCCAGTCGTATTAGTTTTAACCAAATTATCAGGTACAAGACGTGCTTTGACAATTTTAGGATTTGTTCCTAACAGATTGTGACAGTTTTGCTTATTTATTCACATGAAATGCAGGACGGAAAGTCTGTGCAATCTAATATAAAATATAAAATCAAAAAGCTGGACGTGATATTTTGTGATGCATTAAGATGCATTAACATGTGTAAAAAAAATACATGAAATACATGAAACCCCGAGCTGCATACAGCATTGAAAGATCTCTTTTGTAAAAGTGATCAATAGAGTTTACTTTCATTTCGATCTTCACAGAGAAGGGAGTAAATTAATCCATGGTTTTAACCCATTACCTCAGTGAGCAGACGGCACTTACCTTCCTTAACCACCAGGACGCCACTGTCCCGTTATATCGGTATAGGTTAATATTGGAATCGGAAATTAAGTGTTGGGACAATATCGGCTTATAGGCAAAAAGTTAATATCGGACATCTCTACTTTTTTGTTCTTTATTACAACATAGAGCATGAAAAAGGTGAGGAAATTCAATCTTCCGAAGCAGAAGCACATAACGGGGTTTCTCCACAACATTGTGCTTAAACATAACACCAACACATTGTTTCCCAGAATTGTATGACTCATAAAAGAAACACAAAAAGACTGTAATGAGGCCGGCGCTCACTTCACTGGAATCTCTTGTTCTTATTTTGTTTAATAACATAAAAGTGTTCATGATGAATAAAATGTATGATGTCAACAATAACTTATTAAACAACAGAACGCAGTACTGTCCTGATTCTGATGTTTTGTTTCATCATATGTACGTAATTATCAGGACCCTATATTGTATTTGGTTACAATATATACTGTATAACATGTTTCAGTTTTAATTCGTGGAGCTGGAGTTTGTCTCGAACAGATGAGTTCATTTTTAATTCAGACCTTTATTATTTTCTTGATTTACCTGTAGTCTTACTACAAACACATGGTACTGACATCAAGGACGCCACACTTCACAGATAATGTTCAAGCCAGGTTACACAGCGCCTCGGACGAGTAGTGTTCACACTGAATATATACTCTTGGTAAAGGAGAGCGTGACGAAACAGATACATTTTCAAATGCACCATTAGCAAAGCTATTCACCTGTCTTGTTTCACATTTTAATGTGTAGTTAAAAATACATAACACCTGGAGACATACTGACCTACTGCATCTTCTTGAACTATACATATATATGTATACATATACATATATGTGGGTATGATTAAAGTAGTAAAGTATATATTTTTATATATTACTTCTTTATATGCAGAACTATATAGAATACTGTGTGTCTTAATAAACATTGGACTTTAATACTTTCCAGAACACCTAGACATCACATAACCTGTAAACACTTACATACACATACATCACTTATTATATTCCCATGCTTTAACATCTAGACCTGCATTCCTAAGGCATTCTTGCAAATAGGACAATCCATATTATTAAGCAGAACTAAATACTTTTTAATCCGATCTTATGTCAATTTGCGATTTTAATTAATTAATTAATTCATTCATTTATTCATTCATGCAGTTATTTTAAACATCTAATCTTCTATTGTCTGTACTGTATTTCCATCATCCACTGTAGACTAATTTTTACCTCACCGGGGATTTTGGGACTACAGTTTGTGGAATTGAACCATGAACCTTTTACATGGCCAGCACCACAGTAATCATCTTCACTCTTATCATGTACATGGTGAAACATTAATTATCATTGTTGGTAAACAAAAATATCTTTAATTTTCCGTGTCCTTTGTTCTGTTTCAAGTACATTCCGAGTTCTTTCTACGTACTATTTATGCATACTGCACTTACAGTAACACTGCGCTTTCTACAACAGGTGGCATATATCTCCTTTGACCGCATGCAACAGAATACAGTGATCAGGAAAACCTTATTGAGGGAGCTCCATCAGAAGTCAACATGCGAGGAATGCTAGACTGACGGAGACCATCACTTTAATATGAAGACATTAAGGCCATGAGTGTGAAGCGGACGCAATAGAAAAGTTCAGGCTAAAGTCAAAAAAGTGCAAGCAAGCAGTGAAATATTTGTTTTACTGGCGGTCACGTGACAGGTGGAGTCTTCTTTACTTGGTGCGACGAGTGGTGCGTCACTTTCTGTGCAGTCAGGAAAACGTGTGTCACCACATTTCTTCACCGTTGCACAGAAAACTACATCCTAACGAAAAGCATTTTGGCTAAATCAGCATTACTGTAGAGGAACTGCTTGGACTGTTTTGATCAAACAGAGGTTTGGTAATATTCAGGACAGTTTTAAATCAAAGGTGATAATCATAAAACATAATCTCGGTTGATTAAATCAGCCTTTTACATGCGTGTACCGAGTACTTGTTCCATTTAAATACATCTGTAACTTTGTAAGTTCCAGAAATAAAGCAGTGGTCACTGCACGTTTTCAACAATCCTGAGGGACGAATAAAAGCATCTAAGCAAAGCTGCACATCACATTAGCTTATGCAGATAGCATAAGATAGAGGGTCGACCCCTCCCTTGTCCCCCACGTTGACAGGTTCTATTAAAGCACTAACTAAGTACTACTCTAATTAAACAAATGGAATACAATTTCAAATCAGTGCAAATTCTTTACCGAGGCACACTTAAGAAAAATATTGAAATTGAAATTAAATTGCCTGGTTGCAGCAGAACAGCGCCCTCCAGGCACACAACAACGTTTCCTTATTTCCTGAAGGAACTCCTACACAACTATAACCATTATAGTATTAACCAGGTATAGAACTTCCTGAATCTTCCAGAGACATATATGCTAATATTCGCCAATATTTGGAATGAAGTGTAATTTTCTAGTCTTGTCTTTTGTATTGATCTTTAAATAAAAGGTAAACGTAAACCAAAAAACTAAAGATATTTGTCTAAATTCAATGATTTTTTTTTGTAAAATAAGGTGTCAATGCAAAGACTGGAATTCATATCTATTTCCAGATTAAACATCAAATGTCACATAAACAGGAGTCATGACTTTCAGTCCTTCAGTGATTTTTCTGGAAAACCAAATCTAAAGCTTCAAGGCTGTTGATTTGTTTCAGTTATCTCCCGCACCTCCCCTGTTTCACTTGAACTCAGGGCGTTCCCAAGTGAAGAGCGTGTCAACCTGCGTACGGTGTCGCTGATCGATGGGTACCTACTCATAAAAGAGCCACGGGACCAGTCAAACCGGGGATAGAGTCTCTTGAGGACCGCCCTACGAAAGAGGATGTAGACCCAGGGGTCCAGGATCTGGTTCCCAGTGGCAAAACGCAGCCCCAGCAAAAGGTTTTTGGCTTGGAGTTTGGCTCCAGAAAGCACAGTTTGCGCAATAATGATCTGGTGGTGAAAAAACAGAAAAGAGATTAGGAAAACAAAAACAAGAGCAACTGAAACATTGTGGAGAAGAAGCGAAAACAATGATATTAAAAAAAAAGCAGCAGGTTATTATTTTAAATGCATGTATTATGCCCACCTGCCCAGTCGCATCAGGCTAACAAGCTCCCCCGGGAATGAAAAGTGCAAAAGAATCCGACATAAACTGCTCCCAATGGTTAACATCCAAGCAATGTTAAAAGCATTTTCCCCCAAACACCAAAAATTTGGTTGCACAGTGTTATATAATATTAGCTTGACAAACCTTTCACAGAGGCAGAGATGCTCCAGGGACTGTCAAAAAAATATTGTTTTTTACTTTCAGAGTGGGAAATGTCAGCATTAATGGTCTTGTTTAGTTGGTATTGGGGACCATAGTTACGATTTCTGCAGCCGTGCTGCAAAGAAACAGACAATTCAATCCCAATAAACAATTAAATCCCAGTGTTAGTTGTTGGTAAGTAAAGCCAGCATAATGGTAGTAGATGCTTTAGAGTCCAGCAAATATGGAAGGTTGTGTTGTGTGGTGTGTTTGTAAAAGATAATGAAAATTAGTTAATCTTTGGGTTTCACAGGAAGATGGTGAGGTCATGCCGATGACACCAGCCAATCACAGCGCCCTTAGAAAGGCCACAGCCAAATGTACTTTTCACGTTTCACTCGCCTCAGACAGGGCACTTGGCAAACGATGTAAATCCAGGGGTCAAATATCTGATTGCAGGTGGCCATTCGTATGCAGAATAAAACAATTTCATCTCTAACAGGAACCATGGTCACGATGCTCAGCAGAGTGTTTATCTGTGTGGGGTGTCACACCGCTGAGGTTAGACAGGACAACAGAGAATATATTTACCTCAGTCATGTGACAGGAACCAGACGTCCTTTACAACAACGAGAATGTATAGCCTTCATGAAGTGAATGAGTAAGCACATGTTCTCCTTAAATATCTTTGCAAAAATAATTGGACTTTACACTAGAACAGGTGACCGTTAGTGTGATGTGAGAGATCATCAGGTGTAATGTGAAAAATTGTACAATGTCACTTTATTGGTTGGAAACCTATCATTCATTTACTGCAAATAATTCCTCTTCATTGGTCTATGCAAAAGACACTGATGTTGATCTCCATCTCAAAACAGAATTAAAACCTGTTGGAACAAACTTACCAGTAGGGGGCACCAGCAGATGGAAGCGATGACCATGATGAGGATGAGCTGAACCATCATCTCTATTTCATAATCTCGTCGCCGCTGTTTCCTGTCATGTCCGCAGCACACCCTGATCAGGGTCACCAAGCTGACGGTGTTCAGCAAAAAGGACACAGTGATGCAGGTCAGTCCAGTCAGGGAGAAGATCAGGGAGAACACCATGTCTGTTCCCTCTGGGCTGATATTGATAAAACACCAGGAGCCTGGCTTCTGCAAGTGGAAGCTCCCGACACCAAGAACTGGCAGCAGTGCAATACTGCCAGCAAAGGTCCACACCGACAGCACTATGTAGATGGTTCGACCCCTTTTCTTGCTGAAAGATCGTACGAACGGCATGGTGATGCCGATGAAGCGCTCCACTGCCATGGTGGCGCCGAGCAAAAGTGGGCACAGGCCGTAAAAAACCATGGTCATGCCCATGAAGTTGCAGAAGTGGCAGTGAGGGTCCAGAGTGCGCCAGTTAAAGTGAGTCACGTGGAAAGTTCCCACGATGCATCCGGTGACCAGAAGACCCATGAAGTCAGTGACCACCAGACCACCGAGGAAGATGAGGAAGGAGGAGCGCGAGCGACTTTGCGTAGTGCGGAAAGACTTGACTAGAACTACGAGGGCGATAAGATTAGAGGTCAGACCCAGGGTCATGAAGATAAACGGATAGTAGGCTGAGGCGATGGGGTGGGTGTAATTGAATGGAGGATTGTTGATGGTGTAGCAGAACGGGGTGTCGTTAACAGAGACGTTCATGGTGGCTGCTGGTCGTTGTCGATCACAGGTGTAGAGACGGTGTTCTTCAGACTGATGTCATCCTGCTCTTAAACCTGAAAGAGAAAATGTTCATTTATTTGTTTCTTCCAACACAAAACAACTGAAATTTATTTTATGGCATATTTTATTTAAATATTTTTTTGTATGCAACACTGCAGCCACATCCATGTGTGTTCAGAGGTTTGGAAGAGTGTGTGTTTTATGAAACCTAAGAGTAAAAAGGTTTAATCATTTCACACTCTGTGAACTAGGCCGCAAGCTCTTGTTTTGATGGTGAAAAAAAAAGTAATACATTCAAATGACAGTCAGTCCCTGTCACGAAAGTATGACAAAATGAAACATGAAACCAAGTAGTGCATGAATGCCACACGTGCTCCTTTATATATGGTATGAACGGCAACAAGGGGGCGTGCAGGGACATGTTCTCATTTAGAACTGTAAACATCGCACCAAATGAGCATAACCCAGTGATTAAAAAGGGGGCGCTGTGGGCTGTAAAGGTAAAGCTTACATTATGTTGGTTTGAAAGGCATGAGAGTGATATCGAGCTCACACCGCCCTACTGGCAGTCCCTTCTTGTCCACTTGACTCCGGTTTCCCAGCTTGGATGATAGCAGGGCACTGGGAGCGCCGACTGTGGAGCCAGGTAATTGTGTGGCCTCCTGAAATGTCAGCCACGACAGGAGGCTGCTTGCACTGTCATGTCTCTAAGGTGTTGGAGCATCGTTGGGAGATGTGTGATAAAGGTGGAGAGTTACAGGGGGGAGGGAGGAGGAGGTGAGGAGTAACCACCACTTCCAGTCAGAAAGTGCACTTGTTCTCAGCTGCAGAACTAGTGGCATTTACAGTATATGGGGGACGGCTTAAATAAAGCTTTTAATAAAATACTGCGATGCCTTCACTGTGACAGTGACTGTTCAATATCCTTTTCATTCACAATAACACAAGAATTAACATAACATTAAGTATTAGAGAAAAAAACTTTCAGACATCTAGTAAAAGTCAAAACTCAGCTTCTGCATTTTTTTGAGGAACAGATGTGGTTAAAAACTAATAAATAATTACATAAATAAATAAAAACTTGGCAGCTACCCCACAAAAACATTACAGGGTAAAACGTTTGTTATTCAAAATCTTGTTGTCACATGTTATAACATCACACATGGGGAAAAAAAAACCCAAAAACAAATGATTAAACTATCTTGAATTATATTTTCAAAAAACAAATACCACCACATCCTGCATTTACTTTGGTATTTTGTGAGACTGAGAACTTGTCCGTGTTCACTGCAGACGGCAGTATCAACATTAAGGGTCATTCAGATTTAATCAAAACAAATATCAGTTAAATCTCTCATTATCGTTAGTGAGAATTCAACATGCGTTTAAAAGCATTACGGTCTGACAAATAAAAATAAAAATAATAAAAAGGGACCGATTTTCCCAAGAGTGAATGTCAAGATGTCAGAAGACAAGGTTGTTCTTTGAAGAAGAAAAACAAAGTGAGTGAAGTCGTGCAGAAGGGTCAGCTCTCAAGGATTAGCAGCACAACACACACACACAGACAGACCGTTAACAAATATGGAGAGAGTGTAGAGCAGGAACCAAAATAGACAGAGCTGGAGAGAGAACATATCGTTCAGGAAACGCTGTTACGTAAACTCTTCCCTGAGAAGCACTAACAGGAAACACGGACGCATTGTCACAGTAATCCTCAGATGTTGTCTACGGTGGTTTGTCTTCATCTCCTTCATTAATTTCCTTCTACCTATGGTTTGCATTCCGAGAAAAATTAATGTCTGGCCAATCACACCAGGAAATTCAAACAACAGATTAAAACAATGGTCAATGAAACAAAGTGAAACTGAAGAAACAAACATGAAATCATGGGCAAAGTGAAAGTAGGACAGGTGTTTATCAGCCATAAATACTTTACAGCAAAGAACACAGTGCACATGGCATTTAGCAAAAAAACAAACAAACAAACAAAAAAAAACAACAACATAAAATAGAAGCACAGCTGAATTTAGATATAAACTTGATAGTCCAACATAACTCCATTTATGCCGTAAGTCGGAACTCACATACTGTACATGCGTATCCATGTCACTTAGCCCTACCAACTAGCATTTTTACATTTTTGTTTTTTTGAGAGATTTAACATAAAAAAAGAAAACTCAAAGTTCTACTTTTTTCATTCCACCTCTAGTAGTAGAATCTTGTTTTTTTTTTAATAGGTACATGACCAGAGATAAACAACCAAAACCATTTTCATCCTCCACTGAAAACCGTTTAAAAGCCCCATTAGAGAAAGAGGAAATGAGCACGGTGAATCGATATTCTCAACACACAGAAATGGTTCTGACCAAACAGACTTGACCATATGACCATATTGATGAGGGGACTCCCACGGGTCCCACCCATCAGGTTCCTAAAAGATCCACAAATGTCTAATGGACATGAGCAGCTTCCTCATCAGTGGAGTTAATGATCCAGAAAATATTCTCCTGCCTGTCAAATGTTAGTTAGGTCCATATATACAAGATACACGTAGTGAATGAAAATATAAATAAATGTACAGCTGCTCCATGGCAGTCACCTCAATGTTTTGTTGTCTTAGCAACCTAACTTTCTTTTATTGATCTCATCAATAAACATTTCAAATGATTGGTCGGTTTGATATTTAAAATACTTAAAAAAAATGTTTCTGACACGACATCAAAAGCTTTTTTTTGTAGTAATGGTCAAAAAATACCACTAATAAGAATTAAACTTACTGAATTAAAAGTAGAAATTTAACTTCTTTTAAAAATAGGATGTAAATAAAAGTTGCATAAAAGCAGTAGATTTGCACATGCTTCCTGAAATGTCTGAGAACTCAGTCCTATTTCCAAACTGTCATGCTTGTCAATGGGTCTTCTGATTTTACTCTACTGTAAATAACCAACAGTGTAGTAAATGTAACTCACCAGCACAGCATGTCTTTACAGGAGCAGCGGCTGCGGTGGTGAAAAGTTCACGTATCTCCAACAAAGGACTCGATGGGTTAAAAACAGCAGTGGGATGAATTCCCAACATGTATCTTTGCAGCTACACAGATACTCATCTTCTGCCTTCCAGTCTTGCATGACTTAAGTTCCCTTACCCCTCCCTTGATAATAAAGAGGGAGGATCGGTAGTGAAAGTTACTGCCTTTCGCTGAAACCTTCAGGAGTGGTAGGCAGTGCAGGAAAGAGACAAAGTCACAACGTTTCTGCAGGAAGTACAGAACAAAAAAACAAAAAAAGAATTACGCCCTTGAACAGTTTTATTGACTACATTTTTTTTTCATAATAAGCAGATATTTGACATAGAATAACAGTAATTCATAAGTGCAAAAGTACAAAGTCACATTTCTAAGTGAAGCACGAAAACAAAAAAAAAATGTAAACACTTAAATTATGGAAGAAGAATCTGGTTACGTAGGTCTGTAGGCTCCCATTGATCCAGGGTGAAGATCAATGAAAAAATCTAAACAACAGTGAATATATATGTATATATATATATACGTACAGTATATAATAAAACAAAAATTAACTATGGACAAAACTTAATACAATTATTTCAATCTGTAGCCACTCAGAATATTTTAATCCTTAATTATTGTCCTACTCCAACCTACATTTTATCTGCGTGGAATGTGTTTGCCTGATAATCCAGGTTCCAGGTGGCGCTCCAACTAATTGTCTTGATTCCAATAAAGGTACAAACAACATCCTTCAAAAAAGCCAGAAACTAGACACAAACACCACTAATTGGACAGCATTTATTGATGATTACGCTGATTCAAAAGTAACCATTTTTTATAGGTTGAAACACCATCCGTCTAACAGATGAGTTACTGTCTTTTTAATGAATTCAGTCATTTAGGACTCACTCTGCTCCAGCGGTTTGGGACCAGAGTCAAACCCCAACTACAGGAGTGACTAAAACAACATGAAAAACCAAATGCCAAAAAGCCACAAATATTAAGGTGCAATACATTTTTACACCATGTAAAAAAGGGTAAGCTAACTTGTTTTAACTCTACAATTGACAAAGGCTAAAACAATAAAAACAACAGATCATACAAAAGAATGAAACGGAATAAACAATAAAAAAAAAGAGTTAAAAATACCTCACCTGCCTAAATATATCAAACAGGAGACGATCAGAAGACGACGGCTTCGTAAACCCGTGAAATCAAGAAAACAAACTGTGTCTGTTTGAAGAAGAGTGAGTTCAAAACCTCCTGCTGGAAATGTCCTCCAACAGGTGACTTGATTGGCAGTTAATCCCAGGGCAGTGCTGACAGTGTGCACCAATCATCCCTCTGTTTTTGGGCAGCTTCATTTGCATATTTTCACTGGAGACCTTTTACTTTTAATGCAATAAAACTCAAATCATGTTTTTTTTTCGCTTTTAAATTTTTTTTTACAGTTGCAAAAATATCTCTTAAATATATTTTTTTAAATAATAAGTTAAAATATTAAAACTTTTATATAGATACATGAGGTCAATGCAAGGTGAACACAGGGAGCATTGAAAGTCAAGTTAAAGCAGTGAGAACAGGAATGTACTTCCTCTCCTGGGCAGGTCATTGGAAGAACATCACTTCGGAAGTGGAGTTTCCGTTAGGAAGTGAGCAGAAGTGGAAATTATTCAGCATTCAGCTGAGATGGATTTGACTGAACTGTTGTGCTATTATAGCGGGAAGAGGCGTTTGTGTGGTGTTGCTTTGTAATTCTTATTAAATTCGTTCAAGGGTGTTGGCTTTATTTGGAGGTGAACAAACAGGTATAAATAGTCAGTATTTTTTTGGAGGACAAAGATTGGTCCAACAAATTCCCCTTGTGATTAATTGAGATTTCTGAGTTTTTTTTTAAAGCCATCCAAGTTATTTTTCCTTGACCTTAATGACCTCTTATTCCTTGTACGTGACCAACTGTTGCATGCTACATTATAAGACTCTGACTTTGTCATCAACGTTCTCCAGCTGTGTTTCTGCTTTAGTTTCACAGCCCTGTTTATTCCATACTTCTTCCTCTTTAACTTCTCCTTTGTGAACGAGGCATTTGACTGGATATATTTAATTTTCATATCTAAAAATATGAAATAACTTTCCATAAAGCTCCAGGACAAACAAATGTCTAGAAAATGTCATGGTAAAATTAAACCAATTAATGTTATGGGCCATTACATTCATTCGCTGCTGTGAGAGTCTGTGGTCCAAATGTGGGCACTTGGACATTCATTTACGGTAAGTAGAAAACCATTTGGAATTTCCAATCATTTGCAGACATATAATCACTCCACTATAAGCCACTGTGGCTTTTAGAGAAATAACAATTACTGTTTGTCTGTTTTTGTCTTTTACAGTTTACAGACAGACTGTGGTGCCGTTGGCTAGAGAATGATCAGCACTAGAATCACATCAGCCACAGCTCCTATTACTGTTGTGTATATTGTCAACAATAACCCCAGATTTCTTGTCCTGTCTCCAGTGAGTCTACAAAGCCAATGGCTCTATGGGAGATGTCAACTCACAAAAAGAATTATATACAATACTATTGCTCTTCCCATACGGCTCTGGTCCCTAAATGCATTTCTAGGACGCTTTGTTTTGCTGATGACGTTTGAATCTACGTGTGTGGTGGCAAGCCTCTATAGAAAACAAAAAAAGTGAGTATGGTTTACGAAGTTAAAAGGACTAAAAGGATGTTGTTAGAATATAGAGGGAGAAGAGACGAAGAGAAGATATCCGGAGAGACCGCCGCCCACTTTATCACGTACTGTATAGAGACCTTTGTTTGAGCTGCTCAGCCCACACTCCTGTCACATCCAGAGAATATAATCATCCTCTACAAACTCTGCCAGACCCCTTTGGTCTATTTGACCATCACGCCTGGCTCATGGACTTGAAAGAGAACAAAAAAATCTGAGAATCAGGGCTTTTTGCAGCAGCCAAAATCAGATTTTCGAAACATAATTTGCTAGCCTACCCTCTGTTTTTTCCTTTGACATCGTTGGTTCGGTGCAGTATGAGGGTCAGCAGTTCACCAAGGGTTG